GCATGCCTGTAGTTCCAGCTACTCGGGAGGCTGAGGCAGGAGGATCGCTTGAGCCCAGGAGTCTGAGGTTGCTGTGAGCTAGGCTGACGCCACGGCACCCTAGCCTGGGCAACAGAGTGAGACTCTGTCTCAAAAGAACAAAAAGGAGTCACGCCGCAGCGGTGCGCTGTGCTGGGGACGGGAGGGGACACGGAATCGCGGGATGGAGTCGCGTGCGCCCTGCCCTCCTCCGAGGCCGGGGTTCCCTTGTGGGTCCCCTCACTGGTCTCCCCTTTTCCAGAAAGAGCTGGAAGCCGCCTGGGGCGTGGAGGTGTTCGACCGGTTCACGGTCGTGCTGCACATTTTCCGCTGCCACGCCCGCACCAAGGAGGCCAGGCTGCAGGTGGCGCTGGCCGAGATCCCTCTGCTCAGGTGCGCGGGGGACGCCCAGGCCTCAGCACTGCCCGGCGTGTCCTTTCCGTTTTCCCGTGTTTGAGGATCTGGGGAGTGCGTGCGGCAGGAAAGGGGGGAGCTCCCTGCTGACAGTGCGTGACCTGCCACACGGGGGGAGGCCCCAGCGCCCACCCCTCCCACCCAGAGACCCTGCCGCTCCCTCACCCTCGCGGCGGAGGCCGTCTCTCTGCCTGGCGCTCGCTGGGCAGGCGCGAGCGTCGTGCAGATGGTGAGTCCCTCCTCTCTCCACACCAGGTCGAACCTGAGAGATAGCGTCGCTCACCTGGACCGACAGGGAGGGGGCTCCCGCTACATCATGGGCTCAGGTGACGTGGGGGCTTGAAACCACAGAAATGTGTCCCCTCCCAGTCCCGGAGCCCAGGAGTCTGAGACGCGGGTGTCTCGGGGCCGCGCTCCCTCCGCAGGCTCCAGGGGAGGCTCCTTCCTGCCCCTTCCAGCTCCTGGGGGCTCCAGGTGTCCCCGGGCTTGTGGCCGCGTCACTCCAGTCTCTGCCTCCGTCTCCATGTGGCTTCTCTTCTGCATCTGTGTCTCCTCTGCTGTCTCTTAGGAGGACACCTGTCACTGGGTTTGGGGACCTCCCTAATCCAGGATGGTCTCATCTGGAGATCCTTCAGTTAATTACATCTGCAAAGATCTCTTTTTACAAATAAGTTGAAGGAGGGGGAGAAAAAAACCCAAAACAAAACCTTTTTCATACTCTCTTAGGTTCAATGACTGGGGTCTGCTAATTAAATTGACCAACGACAGATTAACGGGAGAAATGGTTTATTTCTTATGCTCAGAGGGGCCCTCTCTAATTTAGGGACCTCCCTAATCCAGGATGACCTCACCTCGAGATCCTTCACTATTTACCTCCACCAAGATCCTGTTCCCACATAAGGCTCCTCCCCAGGCTCTGGGGTCAAGATGTGGGCGGATCCTCTGACTCCACCCTGCAGCTCCATAGAGGCACCATCCTGCTGCACTCCTCCTCCTCCTCTCCTTTCTCCTCTTCCTCCTCCTCCTCCTCCTTTTCCTCCTCCTCATTCTCCTCCTCCCCCACTCCTCCGAGCCCCCCCAGGCATCGAGCACGCGAGGCCCACGTTCCCGCAGGGCCCTTCCGTGGCGCTGCGCATGTGCCATCTTCGCCTCCCACTTCTGGCCACTCACGCTGCGTCATCCCTGTTCAGGGGAGTCTTTCATGCAGCTGCAGCAGCGCCTCCTGCGCGAGAAGGAGGCCAAGCTCAGGAGGGCCCTGGAGCGGCTGAGGAAGAAGCGGCTGGTCCTGCGCAGGCAGCGCGCGCGGCGGGAGTTCCCGGTGGTGTCCGTGGTGGGCTACACCAACTGCGGTGAGTTTGAAGGCGCGTCTTCACCTGGACCTCAAGGGCCGTCTGATGCGGGAGACGGAGCCCTGGTCCCTCCGCGGTCTGGGGCCCTGAGCCGTCTCAGGCAGCCTTAGACTCACGCCCGGCACAGAAGCCGCCCGAGCTTCCCTCCCCCGCCCCGTGTCCCCTCGGCACCTGCCCACGCTCGTCACGTCCGGGCCCTTCCGTGGGCTCGGGAAACG